CTGAGACTTTCTAATCTCTTTCGATGGGTAGTCTCACAATTCGCAACTATCGCAAGAATGGCGCACACGCAGCTTTCAACATGGGGCCCTGGCCTGAGCACCGCGCGCATCAGCCTTATACTTTGACACAGTTATAATGATGCAGCACAGGTCGTCTTCGCAATGGGGCTCTCGCCTTAGCGCCGCATGCATTCATCTCATACGTGTGCAATATCTGCAAAGATTCAGGGCGGGTCGTTGTCAAAATGGAGCGCTCAATGTACCGACGCGTACATTGTGCCCAAACGCTTACAACAACTAAAGAAATTCCGGGCGGCTCCTTCTCAAGATGGGGCTCTCGCCTCTCCGCCGCGAACAGTCGTCCTGAACGTCGGCAGCATGTGCGAAGAAAGACCGACCATCCTTTTTCAACATTGGGATCTCGATGGAGACTTCCTGAAGCTCAATCACGATAATGAAGGGGCCCTGGGACACACAAATAAATACATACAAATAAAAAGACCCCCATCTTTTCCCATATTTCCTGGATTTCTGTCTTCCCCCCCACTTCCCATATTTTCGCATATTTTCTGGGAATCGACGAATAATTGTGTCTGTGCGTTTTTTCCCCTCCTGAGATGAGTTTCAACATATCATGGAGCAGCTCCACGGATGGACGGCGGCTCCTTTTCAAATTGGGGCTCTCACTCGAGCCATCCCAAGATTTACCAGCCCAGAACGTATCCCTATCCCTAAGATTGACACGCCAAAAGGCGATGACAATCTTAGGGATTCGCCCTCAAAAAATAAGGGAATCCCTAAGATTGGCATCGTGATGAGGCGGTGCCCAGCATAGGGATAGGGATATGTTCCAGGCTGGTAAAAGATGCCATGGCCAGAAATGCGTCCTTCTGCGACAGAGGCACGGATGGGAGGCGCTCCTCTTTCAAAAACGTGGATCTCGCTTGACAGTCCGATGAAGTGCGGGATCACCCTCCCCCACCACGACAACGAACACTGCGCAGCCTCCTGGGGGGGGACACTCGGCCAGTAAAAGCGCGACCTGGGACAGGAAGGCCCCCCAGACGAACGGCGAGTGTCGAATGTCCTATGCACACTCTTGTGCCAACCATCTGCGGATGTGTTCCTCCAGGCGCCACGGAGCACGAGTCAGCGGACAAAAGCCAGAGAACATGAAAGATGCACAAGACCGGCATCCCTCAGCCGCACCGGATTATACCTCTTCGCGTTCCTGATAATGCCTTCCGAATTCCTTTACTATATCTGAGTGTGCCCTTTCGTATTTCTGATTGATATACTCTTTTCCGTTCGAACTGCATGATCATACCCTTTCGTAATCCTGACTGAGCGCTGGAAAGACGAAATGTAGTCCCTTTTCAGAACAGCGTTCCCGCTCGACCGACAGGCCTACAGGGGGGCTGAACTTCCAAGGGGGTCAAGACGCAGGCCTCAAGGTCTCGATAATGACGACAGATGGAGGCTTGAGCTGGCACCCCGAGGTTGCAGGGGCGAGGTGAGGACCACCCCCTGGGGCGGGGCTCCCGCTCGAGACCTTCTCGCAGCTCGCTTACAGACGAGGCTCCCGCTCGGGGCGTTCCTGAAGACTCGGGCCTCGGGAGCCCAAGAAGCCAGGGCAGCTGCGGGAAGGAGACGACCCCCTTCGGACGAGAAGCACAAAGTGAGGGGGCCACGAGGGCAGGGCTTCCGCTCGAGACATCATCGCCATTCACTCAAATACGAGGCTCCCGCTCGAGACGTCCTCGAGATGATCGTATGAGAGCGGATGTGTGTGTGCGTGTGTGTGTGTGTGTGTGTGTGTGTGTGTGTGTGTGTGTGTGTGTGTGTGTGTGTGTGTGTGTGTGTGTGTGTGTGTGTGTGTGTGCGTGTGCGTGTGCGTGTGCGTGTGCGTGTGCGTGTGCGTGTGCGTGTGCGTGCGCGTGTGCGTGTGCGTGTGCGTGTGTGTGTGTGTGCGTGTGCGTGTGCGTGTGTGTGTGTGTGCTGATGATAATGACGACGAGCGAACAAAGGAAGAGACGACGAGGTGTGCTCCTGCGCAAGGGTGCCCAAAGAAAACAATAGACCCACGTTGGAAGTGGTAAAAACTGGCAACAAAAAGCAGGAAACGCCGCCTATAACTGGGAACAAGGGACTGCCCCCTTGCCAGTCAGGCCGAACGTCTGGCAATCAGCGCTGGGGGTCCCTTCCTCCCTTGTCGAGTTTTAAAATGCTCGAACACGGCCGAAGCATACATGCGAAGGCCAGCTCACGACTGCGCAACGATCCCCCGACGGTTTGAAAGTTCTTCCCAAGATACACCACTGGATGCCTCCAGCGCGGCCCAGAGAAGACACGCATCGCTGCGGCCTGGCTGCGTAACTTCAACAAGCGCGGCGGCGGATATACGCGGCCATGCAACCATACATCCATGTGTGAATTTATATATAAAATATATACATATATATATATATATATATATATATATGTGTGTACACGCACGTTTATGTGTGTGTGCCGTGCAAACGGCCCACTGACGGTGCCAAGAGGCCCCCAAGGCGGTCCAAGAGGGCACCGAAACGTCCCAGCAGCTTTCCAAAAAGTGCGTGGCTGGTCTCAAGACTGCCCAAGACGCCCCCAAGACGCCCTAAAACGCATTCAAACGGACCCCACAATGACGCAAATCGTCCCGCTCCTGCCGGAAAACTATTTTGCGTACACGCTCTGCGAGTCTTGGCAGCGTCCAAGACCGCGCAAGCGGCCCAACTGGGGGCCCAGGAGGCCTGCAAAAGGCTTCCAAGAGAGACCCTAGAGACCTATGGGGGGCTTCCAAGAAGGCCCAAGGTGGCCCTAAAACGGTTCCAGATGGTCCTCGTCCCCACAGACGGCCAAGGATAGCCTCAGGACGGCCCAAGAGGGCCCCAAGACGTTCCCCAAAAAGCACCCCCAACGACCTTCACGAAGGCCTCGAGAGGTCACATTCATTGACGGACCAACAGGTCCCCAAGATCGCCCCAAGATGGCCCAATCGGCCTTCAAGAGGGCGCCCCGACGGCCCAAGAATGTCACCAGACGGCCTAAGACCTCTGCGACGTCCGAAGACCTCCTCCAAGCAATGGTTTCCATCCCAACAGAGGACGGCAAAGGATCGAGGTTCTAGTTCGACGGTCGAATTTGTCCTGCCGACTTCCGTCCTGAGTCTCCAGCGTTCTCGTCACATCATGGCAAGGTCCGCCTCGAGATCCGGGCCCAACGCAACCCAAGAATACTGCGGGGAGCCGGCCGCAGTTCAAGGCGCGAAAGGGCCACATTGTACGAAGCTCGATCGACTAAGGTACATGCTGCGAAGCGCCAATGCAGCCTTGTATGCAAAAATATATGTGCACTCCAGCGCGAGTTGGGACTGAGAAGAGGAGGGCGACCTGTAACCATGAGAAAGGTGCCCGCAGCCAAATGACCTCCAGCAAGGCTGCCCGATATCCCAGCGTCGACTGGATCCGGGCAGTCCCGATCAGCGAACATATCCATATCCACGCACCTGCAGTCTGGATTCCGGGGCGCGATCGGGTGGATGCGCGGTCGCACGGATCATGGAAAAACGCTCCGCGCGGGGCATCCGACAACAAAAAAACTCCGTGCCCATGCGGTCGCGGCCCGGGGGCCCGGCCCGCGAGGCCGTGGATGTATGGAGAGGTTTCCCGCCCGCGAGGCGGGGTGGGGATCGCAGCTGCCCGCCAGGAGGGGGTCTTCTTCCAGAGCTGGCGACCTGCAGAGCGGACAGGTGAGCCCCAGCGGGGCTGTCCCATACCCCAGCTCCGTCCTCGCCATCGCTCGGACGTCCATTCCCTGTGCTTTTTTCGGTTTCGTGAGTGGTTTTTGTTTGCCAACGTCTGGACCTGGACCTGGCCATCGCTCGGACGTCGATTCCCTGTGTTTTTGTCCGGTTTCGTGCGTGGTTGTTCGCCAGATGATCAAGGATTCTCTTCGATGGTCCTCGCCGAAGGAAAACTGCACACGTCCGAGCGATGCCACGGGACGGGATGGGGCTCGCAGGTGGTCGCGGGAGGAGGGCGCCTCCTCCTTCCAGAGCCCCTTGAACTTCTTGAAGCAGACGTCGCACTCGTCCTGGCGCTCCCCCGCTGGCCAGCCGGCACGCAAGCAATCGCAGGCATCACCTGTGCACGCCCCTCTCGCTCTCTTACGCTCTCTCTCTCTCTCTCTCTCTCTCCCCTCTCTCTAGAAGACATGTATATGCCTGCATGCTTTTTGTGTTCTCTCTCTCTCTCTCTCTCGCTTTCTGCCCTTGCTTATCTGTCTCTGCGCCTCCGTCTCTGTCCCGGTCCCTGTCTCTCTCGTTCTCTCCATCTCTCTCCTCGCTCGCGCGTTCCTTTGTGTACCTCTCTCTCTCTCTCTTTCTCTCCCTCCCTATGTCTGTATATCTCTGTCTATCCCTCTGTATCTCTGTCTATCTCGATGCTCATGGTGTTGTGTGTTTCTGGATTGCTCCCTCTTACTTTATACACATGTGAACATACTATGCTTGTGTATATGAACGCACCAACATCCGCAACCGTGCCACAATGTATATATGTATATATACACCTGCATGCAACCATGCATACATGTATATATATATACACATATATGTACACATGTGTATACATATATATATACATACATACTAGAACCACGCGCGCGCTTCGCGCGCGCTTAGGTTCTAGTTTGCTCCGAAAACGGTGTTCGCAAACACGGGTCCGATTCCGTGGCGATTCGCGGGAAATCTACGTCCGAAAATGACGTGTTGCCAGAGGCAGGTCCGCGGGTGCTTTAATGCAACGTGTCCAGTGTATCCAACGATTGCATACTTGTTACATATGCTACATATTGTATTGTTCTGCAATATTATGCCCCCCCCTTGGAGCCGCGCCACATCGTCGGACCAAATCTGGAGGGCCTCATTCTGGGCCTCAAAACATAGAAAGACCTATGGAAAATCAACAATTTCGGCCTCTTGGGCCTCTTGGGACTCCAAGAGGGCCTCAAGATGGCCGACGATGGCCCCAAGACAGCCCAAGACGGCCTCAAGACGGCCCAAAATGGCCCCAAGAGGGCCCATGAGGCTCCCAAGAAGATCCACGAGAGCACTCAAACCCGAACAATCTTTCCATGACACCCTCACCCTTAGACCCGAACCTTGAGACCGAGGAGGCGGAGGAGGATGAGAGGAGGAGAGGAGGAGAGGGAGGAGGCGGAGGAGGAGGAGGAGGAGGTCCTCCTCCTCCCCCCTCCTTGTGCTCAGCTCCCCCTCCTCCTCCTCTTCTTCCTCCTCCTCCCATCCTCCTCCTCCTCCTCCTCCTTTTCCGCCTCCTCCTCCTTCCTCCTCCTCCCTCCTCCCTTCCTCCTCCTCCTCCGCCTCCTCCTCCTCCTCCTCCTCCTCTTCCTCCTCCCTCCTCCTCCTCTTCCTCCTCCTCTCTCCCCGTCCTCCCCCTCCCTCCTGCTCCTCCTCCCTCCTCCTCCCACCGTCCCGGCAGACTCCATGCATTGACGTTCGTGCGAGGCCTCATTCCCAAGCTTGTCTTGGGGCGCCCTTGGGCGCCTCTTGGGGCTTTTGGAATAAGTTGGATACGTGGTACGAAAGGAATGGAGTAAGTTTTGGCTCCCGGGGCCCTTTTGGAAGGCCTCTTGGAGCCTTCTTGGGGCGTCTTGACGGCCTCGTGGCCCTTCTGGAGGCCATGTTGGGCCGTATCGGAGCGCTCCGGGGGCCCTCTCGGGGCGACCGGGAAGTCTCTTGGGCCATCTTGGGCGGACTGGGAGGCCCGGGGGCCGCCCGAGGAGCGTCCCAGGAAGCCCTCCTAGGCCCTCTTAGCGCTGTCCTCAGGCGTCCTGGGGCGTCCTTGGGCGCCTCCTGGGGCTGTCTGACAACTCGGACAGCCAAGGGATGAGATATCCTAAAAATGTACGTTTTACGAAGGGAATGGGGCCATTTTGGTCTCCCGGGGCGCTCTTGGGGGGCCTCTTGGAGGCCTCTTGGGGCGGTTTGATGGCCTCTTGTCTCTTCTGGAAGCGATCTTTGGCGGTCTTGAAGCGATCCTGGGCTTCTCTCGGCGCTCTTGGAGCCTTCTTTGGCGGACTGGGAGGCCCGGGGGCCGCCCGAGGAGCGTCCCGGGAGGCCTTCCTGGGCTGTCTTCGGGCTATCCTAGGGCGCCTCGTGGGGCTTTCGGACCGCTCCGACAGCCAAGGGAGCTGATATCCTAAAAATGTACGTTTTACGAAGGGAATGGGGCCATTTTGGTCTCCCGGGGCGCTCTTGGGGGGCCTCTTGGAGGCCTCTTGGGGCGGTTTGATGGCCTCTTGGCCCTTCTGGAAGCGATCTTTTGCGGTCTTGAAGCGATCCTGGGGTTCTCTCGGCGCTCTTGGAGCCTTCTTGGGCGGACTGGGCAGCCCGGGGGCCGCCGGAGGAGCGTCCCGGGAGGCCCTCCTGGGCCGTCTTGGGGCTGTCCTCAGTCGTCCTGGAGCGTCCTTGGGCGCCTCGTGGGGCTTTCTGGCCGCTCCGACAGCTAAGGGAGCTGATATCGTAAAAATGTACGTTTTACGAAGGGAATGGGGCTATTTTGGTCTCCCGGGGCGCTCGTGGGGGGCCTCTTGAAGGCCTCTTGGGGCGGTTTGAGCGCCTCTTGACCCTTCTGGAAGCGATCTTTGGCGGTCTTGAAGCGATCCTGGGGTTCTCTCGGCGCTCCTGGAGCCCTCTTGGGCGGGCTGGAACGCGCGGGGGCCGCCGGAAGGGCGCCCCGGGAGAGGGCCGCACCCTATATACAAGGGAGGTTCCGGCCCGGGGCCCGGGGCCCGGGATCTCCCATATATGTATATATATATATATATATATATATATATATATATATATATATACATATGTGTCCGCAGGTCCTTTGCCAAATCCTTCAAACACACCTGACGAGTCATTAAGGGGCCCGGAGCTCAAATTCATACATCTCCTGAGCCTTCCAGCGTCTTGTCGCGTCACCGTCTCGGGCTCAACAATGCCCCAAGACGGGCTAAGAGGGCCCTCAAGACGGCTCAAGAAGGCCGCGAGTCACCGAATGATCGCTCCAACAAGCTCAACTCAAGATGGCCCTAGACGGTCCAAGAGACATCCAAGACGCCCCCAGAGCCTCCCAAGATGGCCTCAAGAGGCCCACATCGTGAATTGTCCTTAGCTGTTTGACGGTTTCTGGCGTTCTCACCTTTTCTGCTTCCCGACACTCCCGGACGGCCCTGGGGGCCCCCGAGATCGCCCCAAGACGGCCCAAGAGGCCTCCAAGTGGGCCCCGGAATGGCCCAAGAGGTTACCAGCCAGGAACATATCCCTATCCCTATGCTGGGCACCTCCTTATCACGATGCCAATCGTTGGGACTCCCTTATTTTTGAGGGCGAATCTCTAAGATTGTCATCGCCTTTTGGCGTGTCAATCTTAGGGATAGGGATACGTTCGAGGCTGGTAAAGAGGGGCCCCGAGACGGCCCAATGGGCGCCCAAGACGGCCCAAGAGGCCACCAAGACGGCTCTAAGGAGGCGGCCCTGGTGGGGGACCCGAGCGGCAAGTCCGAACCCGCGGCCCCACGCGGCCCTCTCAGGTCCCAAGAGGCCCTCCAAGAGGCCCTCCAAGAGGCCCCCCAAGAGGCCCCCAAGAGGCTCCCAGAGAGGCCCCCAAAAACTGCCCCCAAGATGCCACCGAGAGCGCTCCGATCGGGGGCCACATGCGAACCCTACCCCTACCCCCCACGATTTTTGAGGGGGAGGGTGGGGTTCACTTCGCTCGGGAGCTCCCGAACGAAGTAAACCCCACCCTCCCCTTCTAAAATCGCGGGGGGGAGGGGTAGGGTTCGCATGTGGCCCCCTATCCGAAGAGACTGCAAGAAGCATCCCTGAGAACTCTGACCCACAACCCAAACACGGTGGCGGGATGGACAGAAGACCCGTTCTGTGTATGTGTGTATGTATGTATATATACATACATATATACACATACATACATATGGGGCCCACAGTCCGGAATGCTGGGCGCACCCGGGCGCTCCTGGGGGTTCCGCGAGCACCTGTGCCGGACGCCAGGAGCGCACTGCTCGGGACATGCATGTCCGGCATGGCCTCACAAGATGGCCCCGAGAGCCGTCCCGGAGCCCTCTAGTGGGCGACCCCCGGGCCGTCTTGGAGGCCCTGGAGGGCGGCCCCCGAGCCCCACATCGTCAAACTCGATGTGTGTTGCGTCGTGGTGCCATTACCACCCCCTTTTTCTTCGCACCGTCCAAGGCAGCCCACGAGGCGCCCGAGATCGCCACAACACGGCCAGGAGCCCCCGAGAGGGGCACAAAAGAGGGGGGAGCACGAGCTTGCGTGTTGCTCTCCGCCCCAAGATGGCTGTGAGATGCCCCCAGAGGCCCCCCGGGTGCCCCCCAAGAGGCCCCCCAAGACGCCAAAATCGGACCCGAGGAGACCCTCAAGGGGCCCCCGAAACGCCCCCAAACATCTCCCCAGCCGCCTCCAAGAGGCGTCCGATGGGTCTCCCAACATTATCTCCACGGGCATACACGGTGTTACAACCCAGACGCGGTGATGGAACGCGACGACCACTAGAGATCATCTTTTAATGATTGATCCGTTATATGTATGAATATGTTTATTGCTGCACATGCCTGGAATCTAGATGTACATACCTCTCTCTTTGTTCGTGTCTCTCTCTCTCTCTCTTCCTCTCCCTCCTCCGCAAACATCTGTGCACAGACACCAGCCGACGAGTCCCAGCCCTGCAGGCGTAATTGTGCACCATGTCTTCTCTTCTCCCTTCCAAAACCCCGTATTGCCCTCCGGAAGGGGTTTACACTTCCTCCTCCTCCTCCCTCCCCGGGGTCTGGACGGGGAAGGCCACGAGGGGTTAGAATGTCCAAGATGGCCCAAGGTGGCTACAAGATGGCCCCCGATGCGCCAAGATGGCTTACAATGTTGCACAGGATAGCCGACGATGTTTCAAAGTGGTCTCCGACATCCCTCCGAGAGGCCCCAAGACAGCTGCAGGTGCCCTCGGAGCCCTCCAAGGAGCCCTCCCAAATACCAACATCGTCCTGACACATCCGGGAATCAAAAACGTTTGCTCTCTCGCCTGTTCGCTTCCGGCGGGCCCCTGAGACCTCAGTACGACTCCGAAAGGGCCCGAGAGAGGCCCAGGAGAGCCCCACGACTGCCTCAAGAGCGCCCAGGAGCGCCCCAACAGCGCTCCAAGAGGGCCGCCGGAGGAGGAAGAGGAGGAGGAGGAGGAGGAGAAGGAGGAGAAGGAGGAGGAGGAGGAGGGGCCGAATCAAGGGGGCCCTCCTTTTGAGTCAAGGGGCCCCAGATCGCCCCGAGAGAGCCTGAAGATGCCCCAATAGCCAAGAGGGCCCCATGACCTCCCAAGTGAGCCCCAAGAGGGCCTCGAGAAGGCCCCAGGGCCAAAGGGAAACCCACGAGGACCTCAAGATGGCCAGAAGAGTCCTTCAAGAGGCTTTCAGATTGAAAAACAATGAGCGAATACCTCCTCTTCCTCCTCCTCCTCCTCCTCCACCTCCTCCTCCCCCTCTTCTCCTAAGGTTGATCCTCCAGGAGGCCGCCACGAGGCCAATCAGATAATTCGCCTGGGTATTGGTACGTATGAATTTGAAGCTGTGGTGCATGGCCTCGTCTGTCGTAGGTCGAATTCCATGTTCCAAGGATCCTCGTCAGCAGCTGCTCCATTGTATGATATCAAACGCCATTGATCATGGCAGCACGCCTGGGCATTGCTTCTGGATGGCTTGCTGATTGCTCATGTGAGGCCTCGGCGAGATCTCTGAGACAACACACAAATAAAAGAACAGAAGCTGCATAATCATAAACATTCAGAGGTCCGCGCGGATTTCTTGGATCTGCGCTGGCTCCGCCTTCCTGGCGCGCGGGGCGCGCCAGGGGCGGCGCCGCCAGGTGAGCCCCAGCGCCGTTCCAAAGACATCGGCGCAGAGCGCCGAAAGTTCATGGTCATGTCGTTAGTTCGTCTTCTTCTTCGACTTCGAGCCCCCATACCAAGGCATCGATTCTGGATGCCGTGGGTGCTCTGCTGCACAGGCCCGTCCGATGGCGGAGGAACTGCTACATTCCACACGTCCTCCCGGGCCCCCTCCTCTCGTCACGTAACAAAGCCCTGGAGTCGGCCACGGAAGCGTTCGCGGAGCCGCGCAGGTCGACTCGCCGAGGGTGGCAGTACAGAGGAATGCGCGAGGACAGCTGTCGGCGTCTCCGACGGGTGTGGCTCGCAAAGGGTGGGGTTGGCAGCCCGCAGCCTCGGGGGCATGCGAGGACGTCGATAGAGTTCTCCACCACGCCCCGAAAAGACTAGATGAGGGCAACGTGGTGCTCCCAAAGCCTCAACGACGCGGATCGCAAACCTCGGGGGGGACGAAAGGGTAGGATACCAAAGGGGACGCTAGAAAAGAGCTCACGTCGCTGGTTGTCCTGGCGCATGCTGGCGCCGGGAGGCGCCCATGTATCGAAGAATGGGCCTGGCGACGGGGCGGAAACCAGCTGCAGGCAACAGATGTCGTGACCACCCCCTCCCCTATCCTACCCTTTCGTCCGGCCCGAAATCACACCCCAGCGTAACCACCCCCGTTTGCAGTCGCCGACATTTCCCCACTGATTAAGAATCGCTGGTGGATGGGCTGATGAGGATATACGAAGCATCAATACTTTACTCTGTGCCTTCTGGGAGGGTGGCCGTGTATAGAATCGATGCCTCTTAGTAGTGATTTAACACACTGCCATCCCCAAACATCCCTTCAGCAGTCTATTCCCTGAGCTGTTCCGGGCCGCGTTCTTGCCAGAATGTTTGAAGATGATCCAGCCGTGGCGACGAGGTCGCTCCAGGAGCCCCCGAAAAGGGCGAACAACCAATCCTCGACCCCCGATCCTCCTCCTCCTCCTCCTCCTGCTCCTCCTCCTCCTCCTCCTCCTGCTCCTCCTCCTCCTCCTGCCCCTCGGTTTAAAGGGCTCCCACATCGGGTCCGAGTAGAGGGGGTCGAAGGATCACACCACATTGCCACTGCATCGGCGACGTCGGCGATGCATCGGCAACGTCAGCATGGAGAGCATCGGGTCCCGCATGGAGCCGCATCGCCGATGCATCGGCAAAGCGGATGGATATCTTTCGGCCTCGCCTGCTCGGATACCTGTGGATTGACGCGAGAGTGCCAAGGGCGAGGCGAGAGCGCGGCCAGGCAGGGCGCGAGGCTGCGGCGGCGGCCACCGGTGCTCGGCCGCGCGCGGCGGCGCTCGGCAAGGGCCGCACGACGCCGAACCCTGACATCCCAGGTGCTGGGGAATAACCTTCCAGACTCGTATCCAGTGAAAACGTATACTCAGGACGCAAGACCCTTGGAGGCCGAAGTTGGGCTTTTTTCTGGGCGGCGGGCGACCAAAACCCCAATGGGAACGGCGGCCAAGGACGGGCCGCAGAGGCAAGGACACAAGGGTTCCCCCGGAAAAGGCGCGCGTCCTCACCATGCGCGTGGACTGCAAGCCTTGCCGCAGGGCTCGAGCTAAGCAGTGCGTTTCGTTGTCGTGCTCTGCTCGTTCTTAGGGAATAAAAAGTAACATAAACATAAGAACTCGGAGGTCCGCGCGGATTTCTCGGAACGGCGCTGGGGCTTCCCGGCGGAGCCTCCGGCGCCGCCCCTGGCGCGCTCCGCGCGCTAGGGAGGGGGATCCAGCGCCGATCCGAGAAATCCTCGCGGACCTCCGAGTTGTTATGTTTATGTCACTTGTTGTTCCCCTAGCTTGTGCTGCAAGACGAACTCCAAACGGGCACGGCCCACGCGAAACCGCTGGCACGCCGCTCGGCTCGAGCCCTGCCTGCCTCGCTAAGACTGCTTGGAGCCTTGACTGGCGAGCAGACGTCGAGGTCCGAGGAAGAGCCTTTCCCGGGCGCTTGCTCTGGGAACGCTCGGCGGCGCGCTTGAACCCGGGGGGGGGTGCGGCTCCCCCCCCTCGAACATTCGGCGCCCCGTCGAGCAGAACCAGGGGGGCTCCGATTCCCTGCTCCCCCCCCTCCCCTCCCTCCCCGAACCCCCTCCCCCGCCCCCCAGGGGGTGGGTCACTCCCCCTCCCCCCCCCTCGGCTCCCCCCTCCACCCTTTCCCCTTCCCCACCCCCTCCCCTCCCCCTCCCCTCCCCCCCCCCTCCCCCCCCTCCCCCCCCTCCCCCCCCCCCCCTCCCCCCCCTCCCCCCCTCTTCCCCTCTTCCCCTCCCCCCCCCCCGCGCTGCAGTCGCTGCGCCAGCCCTCCCCCCGGGAGGCCTGCCGCGGCGCGCGGCGCGCCGGGAGGCCGCGAGAAGGAGGGGGGGGGGGCGGGGGGCGGTCCAGCGGGTCGCTCGGACGTCCATTCCCTGTGTGTTTTGTTTTCGGTCTCGTGCGTGGTTTCTTCGCCAGATGATCAGGGATGCTCCTCGGTGGTCCTCGCCGAAGGAAAAAAAGCACACGTCCGAGCGATGCCAAGGGCGGGGGCGGTCCAGCGGGTCGCTCATGGGGATGTCGGCGGGGTGGATCTCGCCGCGCGCGCGGGGGGCCCCGCAGGCAGCCGCGCGCGCGAGCGGCGAGGAGGAGGGGGGGGTCGTAGAGCGGAGGCCCGTCCACGAGAGGCGTGCCACAAGGAGCCCTCCTCCCCTGGGACCCCTGGGCGTCCACTGTTTTGTTGGCGCGGGGGCGTCACTCTCCCTCGAAGAACCGTCGAAACCCAGGAAACCCGGGGCACCCTGTTTTTGGGGCATGGGTCTCCACTCTACGCACGCACGATTGCATAGAGAGACCTCGCTCGGTGGCCCTTCGAGGGCCGCCAGCGCGGCCCGCCACGGTGGAAACGAGGGCGCCTGCGCACCGTCTCGCGCAGGCAACTTGCGCGCGAATGTTCGCGCAGTCGACCCCATCTTGCTGCGTCGCTCATGTGAACCATACCCCCGCGTCATGGAAGCCCGAGGCAAACAAATCAGGCACCAACAGAACACGACTGCAAAGATCAGCAACAGCATGAGGTCCATGACGCGACCACGGTGGAGAGCGGCTGCGCGAGCACGCGCGATATTGCCTCGTCCGTCGGGCTCTGCCTCCTTCTGCCAGTGCTTCCCTGCTCACCAGGCGCAGCGCTGCCGCCACGAGAACCCACATCTCCCAGGCCACCAGTCGGCAGCGAGCCCTAGGAAGAGGAGGAGGAGGAGGAGGAGGAGGAGGAGGAGGAGGAGGAGGAGGAGGAGGAGGAGGAGGACGACGACTCAGAATCCTCTCAGAAGGACCTCCTCCAGGGGCGGTCCTTCTCAGAAGCCTCGGAAGGCCTCGGGCCTGCCGGGCGGTTGTCTGGGCCTCCCCCGAAGACACGGACAGCTTCTCGGAAGGCCGGAGAGGCTTCTGAGGAGCCCTGCCGCCTTCTGAGAAGGCCTGCCCCCCTCGCGCTTGCCCCCATGGGAGCGCCGCCGGACCAAAGCAAGAGAGCGGGCGAGTGCGCAGAGCAAACGCCTTGGTCAGCGACTCGTTCTCGGAGCATCCCCAGCGGGCTATCAGAGGGGTCGCCCAGCCTCGGATGCGTGGAGCGAGCAAGGGAGCACGCGCGCCAAGCGACGCTGCACGCCAACAACAGAATGACTGCGAGTGCGCAATCCGAAGTTTACGTTCGCACTGTAGCTGGACAGACGACGACGTGCGTTATGCAGCCCGAGTCAAGCCCCGGCGGGGCGACGCACTTTCGCGGCAACAGAAGAACACCTGAATGCAGAGAGCTATTCACTCATAGGAAAGACACGGGTTAAAAGAAGGTAGAAAAAGAGAGAAAGAGAGAGAAAGAGAAAGATGGAGGAACGGAAGGTCAGACAAACGGGCAGCGCAGAAAGTGGGATACCTAGAGAACCTGGAGACAAACACATCGAATGACACAGAAACTGAAAGAGAAAGGGTTAGAGCGAGAAGGGGTGAAGGCAACACAACAAGAGAGAGAGAGAGAGAGGCGGTGAACTGGAGAGCGAAGACGGATTACATATCCGCCACCCTGCCGCAGGACCGTGGGGTCCCTTCGAGCCATCATGCGCTGAGTGTGGCCACTGCTCTTCGTGTGGGGAGACATCGAGCTTGAACTGGCGATACATCGCCGATTGATCGGCGATAGGGCACCGACAGTGAAACCGCACGTTCCTGGGCTATCGGGCCCCGATCGGCGATCAACTGGGCGGTTGGGGGTCGATACATCCCCCCTTGAGCCTATCCCCCCAACATTACCTCCTGGCTCTCGGGTCATGATTCGGCTCTCGGCGGCAGTTCAGGACGACCGGGGCACTACCGCAACGCTCTCGGCGAGGCGCAGCTGCCGGATGAGCACCGCGACCTGCGGCGGACACACACACACACACACACCCCTTTAGTAAGCCTCCCCTTGGTGAAAACGGCCCGGGACCGAAGCCGACGGACCTGGACCCACAAAAATGACGGCCGCGACGGCCTCTCGCGAACCGAAGCTGGCCAATTCCTTAAGCGACGTGACAGGGCAGGAGGTCTATCAACCGCCGACGCGAGGAACCGACTCAGGCGCCTGCAAAAGCCTCGATCCTCGAACGCACGACAACTCTGAAACTCCCCCGATCACGGGACCGCTGCCCGTGCCCCGGGCGGACTCCCAGGTGCCCCCGTCGGGCCTCTGCAGGTAGCCTCGGGATGTCCTGACCCAGGTCAACCCAGACCCGTGTCCGCCAGGGCTTGCAGAGTCCTGCAAGATCCTGCAAGACCCTGCACCAAAACCCGGGCAAGTGCGGAGGATCCTGCAAGATCCTGCGACTCCCATGATGGGCCTGTTTTCCACCACCACCAGCATAAGTGGGAGGGGGAGTGGGTCCTCCTCCTCCTCCTCCTCCTCCTCCTCCTCCTCCTCCTCCTCCCCCTCCTCCTCCTCTTCGTCCTCCTCCTCCTCCTCCTTCCCCCCTCCGACCTATGGCAGTGGTGGTGGAAAGCAGGCCCATCATCCCAAGTGCCCTCTCGGGCCCCTGCAGGGCGGCCCCCGCGGCGTGAGCCTCCCGGGAGGCCTCGGAGGCCCGGGCCGCGTCCGCCGACCTCCAGCGGTGCTCTCGGACGGCCCCAGGGCGCACCGTCCTGGGGAGACTCGAGCGGCGAAGGGACAGTGGCCTCATGCACGATGACACGACGACCTTTTCGCGGTGGCCCCTCGAGGGCCGCCGGCGCGGGACGCGACTGTGGGAACGAGGGCGCCTGCGCGCGGCCCTGCGCGGGCAGCTTGGGCGCGAGTGTCGGCGCAGCCGAGCCGGGTTTTCCGCGTCGTTCATCTGGGCGCGGTCTTGGGCCGTCTCGGAGACCAAGGGGGGGCCGCCTCAAAAGGCACGCATCGTTGAACATAAACGTGTGTTGTATGATGTGCTACGTGTCACTGGTCTGTCTGAAGCGCCCACAGCGGCCCAACAGGCCACCAAGGCGGCCCAGAGACGTCCCCCCCGAAAGGGGCCCAAGAGGCCCCCAAGAAGGCCTCCAAAGGGGCGCACGTGGGGGCACCGGAACTGAATGTTTGAGCTCTCCACCCCAACCGCACTCAGGCCGCCACGAGGCTCCCAAGAGGTACCCGGAGGTCCCCAACAAGAGTTCCCCAGGGTGCCCCAAGAGGCCTCCCAGAGGGCCCCGAGACGCTCCAAGGAGGCCCCCAACAGGCCTCCCCAGAGACCCCAAGGCGCTTCCCAGAAGCCTCTGATCGACGACCCAGGTACGGTGGCGGACTGGGCCCTCTCGGCCGCGGCGGCCTGGGTGAGAATCCGGCCGTGGCGACGACAAGCCTTCTGAAGCCCCCCAAAAACGGAAACGGCAGGCAGGGCCGCCGCTGTCACGACTGGCCAGCCCCCCCCCCCCGTCGTGGCCCCTGGGAAGCACAGGCTCACGACCCCCCATCACCCCAGACCCCCGACGTCGTGATCTTCCCCACGAAGTAGAACCCCCAAAGGTCTAGACCCCTTCCCTGGTCTTGGCTTTTCACCCTGGGGCGTTCTTGTTGACGGCCCCGGGGCCTGGCGAGAGCCCCCCGAGCCAAAAAGCGATCAACAGACAACCGTGGCGATGCATCGCTGATGCATCGCCAACGTCGGCGATGCACCGGCGACGCTACCATGGAGAGAATCGGGCTCAACACCGAGCTGCATCGCCGATGCATCGCCAATGCGGCGCGATCCTCCGCCCCCCTCTACTTCGACCCCATCTGGGAGTCCTACAGGGGCCTAGAGCCTTGGCCTCTCGGCCGCGGCGGCTTGTGGGCTGCTGTAGGCGAGGCGGGTTGGCCGCGGGCCGGGCCCGCGGCCCATCCAGAGCCAGTCGAGCTTGCTCCTGCTTCGGGGCGCGGCTGGGGCAGCTGCGGCCGCCGCCAGCGAGCGATCGTCATGGCTGTCGTCGAGGGAGGAGGAGGGAGGGAGGCAGGGAGGCAGGGAGGCAGGGAGGCAGGAGGCAGGAGGAGGAGGAGGCGGAGGCGGAGGAGGAGGAGGAGGAGGAGGAAGAGAAAAGGAAGGAGGAGGAGAGGAGGAAGAGGAAGGAGGGGGGAAGGAGGAGAGGAATAAGAGAGGAGGAGGAGGGGGAGGAGGAGGAGGAGGAGGAAGGAGGGAGAACGAGGTCGAGAAGGAGGAGAGAGAGGAGAGGAGGAGGAGGAGGAGGAGGAGGAGGAGGAGGAGGAGAGGAGGAGGAAGAAGGGAGAAGGAGGAGGAGGGGGAGGGGGGAGGGGGGAGGAGGCGGAGGAGGAGGAGGAGGAGGACGAGAATGAGGAGAAGGAGGAGGAGGCGGAGGAGGAGGAGGAGAAAGAGGAAGGCGCCACGCTTGACGTGTTCAACACTAGGCGTGAGTCGGCCTTTCAGCGCATTCATTTTCCCGAACAAACGCGCCAGCTTCGTTGCCCAAATCCGCCCAACGCAGAAAAGGAACAGCGGGAGGGGAAGGGGGCGCCTGGTAAGCTCGTGGCGAAAAATGGTGCGTTGCCTGGCTCCGCCCGGGGGGGCCCACAGGACGGCCTGGTGAGGCGCAGCGGCCGTCGCCTGCCGATGGGCTGCATGCTCTGATGGCTGGGAGGTTCGTGTCGCGCAAGGGGTGGCACGAGCACGTGCGTGCCGCTCGCACCGTGCCTCCGCGGGACATCCCCGCTGAGCTCGTCTGCGATCCCTCTCCCTTTGACCTGGACGATGCGTGGCTCCACACTTGAATAACCCAAAAAACCGAACCCTTTGGGGGGACCTAGGTTACAGGACGTCTCTTCTGCAAACGTGACAGGCCAAACCATCCAGACATATTGTCCCTAATGTGAAGACGGGGACCAAAGTGAGGCCACATCTTCATCGTGTGGTCGGGGTTAAAAGTTGTTTTCGATAAGTGCTTCACGCGACCATGTGGGCCACACTGGATACCGTCGAGCTTTGACTGCCCATGCGGCATAGTGCTGCCCAGGTCGTGACAGCCGCTACCCTGGAGCAAATGCCTTCCAGACGATGTGCCCACGTCTCGGGGCGCCGGGCGCCTGCGGCCACGCACTCCCCCCGCTTCTGTGCGACACGGCGCTCGAGACGGGCGAAGCAAGGCGAGGACTCTCTCCCAGACCCGCTACTTCGCACGCAATTCTGGAGTTCAGGCCACGAACGCAGGCCTTTGAGGGAGCGAGCGAGCAAGCAAGGGGGAGGGGGGGAGGGGGAGGAGGAGGACCAGTGTAAACCCCAGACTCATCAACGATATTGCAATACACCATCCCGCCAAGTTCCCTCATAGGCTCCTAAGCGGACTCATTGTCTCCGAGGAAAATGTCCCGTTGGAAAACAACCACTTGAAAGTCAAACATTGCGCCAGAACGCGGCTCCTGGGACTTCAACGCCGCGAATCACCGTTGCTCTTGCGTCCTGACCATCACGAACCGTGCCAGATCATGATTCCTCAGACTTCACCACCCGAATCAACGTAACTGTTGCGCCTTCACATTCCGACAACTTATCAAAACATCGTTGAAGGTACGTTAGCCATAGTAAGCCTCGAAATTCTCGTGAACTCTCCAGACGAACGTGCACGGCGCTAGGGCGAGAGCCGCGACGCTGTCGCAAATTCTCAAGACGAGAGTGCGCGGCGCCAGCGCGAGAATCACATGTTCAAAAAAACCCTGCATCCCTCAAATCCTCGTAAACGGTCCACCCAAAAAAGCGGCGCAAAGGCGAGAACCCATTTGAAAACAGACACCCGTGCAACCGTGAAGCGTTTGCAAATTTCAAGCTTCGAGATCATGAGTGTTAAAGAAGCGAGAGGCGTACACCGCAACCACCGTGTGCAACGCAGCGCCTGTGTACACCACAGTGCTTGCGTACACTACAGCGCCGGCGTACATGCGTACACCGCAGCTACCATGTGCAACGCAGCGCCTGTGTACACCACAATGCTTGCGTGCACCGCAGCGCCTGTGCACGCCACAGCGCGTGTCTACACCACAACATCCGCGTGCAACGCAGCGCTGGTGTACACCACAATGCCTGCGTGCATAAGACAGGTAGAATAGAAGGAGCATGTACGTGAGGATTTGCTGCGGACAACTAGAAGCCACGCCACGAAAGTGCTGATAATCGAATGCTACGTTCTCCCCTCCTCCCAACTCCTCCACCTCCACCACCTCATCCTTCTTTTCCTCCTCCTCCTCCTCCTCCTCCTTACCCCCTGTCGTGCGGGTTGGCGCTACAGCGCGCGTGCGCATCTCAGCGCGCACCGCAGAATGGTCTATTGAATCGGTCCACTTGGTTCTCGGACGGCCAATTTAGCTGGAGCCGCCTGGACGCTGATGGGAGGAGTTAGGGTGATGCGGGCGGAATCGGGAGGACTCGTAGATTCCAGCGCCGATCCGTTGTCCATAAAATTATCGATATGTTCTGTGTGGAATCCACAAACGCTCCATTTTGTCATAAAGGATCCGGTATAACATTCTATATGCAACAGTGGTGCTGTGTTGCACACGGTTGCTGTGGTCCACACAGGCGCCGTGGTGCACACAGGCACTGCAATGCACGAAGGCATTGTGGTGTATACTGGTGCTGTGTTGCACACGGCTGATGTGGTGTACGCAAGCGCTGTGGTGTGCACAAGAGCTGTTGTGCCCGCAGTCACGGTGTCACAAACTGACGCTGTGTTGCACCTGGCTTCTGCGGTGTACATAGGCGGTGTGGTGTACACAAGCGCTGTGGTGCGCGCAGGCGCTGTGGTGTACACAGGCGTTGTGGTGTAAATCACCACCTACATGCTGGCGCTAATTACCCGTCCTCCGTCATTTCTAGGCATTCCCAGACGCCGCCGGCGCGAAACGTGACGACATCGACCCCCTCCACCCCTCCTAGATGATTGCCGTCATCGACCCAGATTAAAAAACAGGTTTCAGCCGCGTCCGCGCGCACGACGACTATGACCGACGAGCGACAAGCCACGAGCGACGACGACGACGACGACGACTGCGGACCAGACTCCTATGCGGATTCCTACGCGGACACCTACGCGGATCCCAAAACACACGGCGGCATTGCCCGGAGCGCACTGGGGGGGGAGCATTACGTCATAGGTGGGGGAGCAAGGGCCATGACGCCCGTCATGCCCCAAGCAAGAAAGAGACGGGCTCTATCAGCATCAGCATCAGCAGCAGCAGGCAGCAGCAGCAGCATCATCATCAGCAGCAACATCGTCATCATGACTGCCCTTCCAAGCCTGGAGACACGAGGTGTTTCAATTGACGGCCTCCTGTGCCGCCTCGAATAATCGCCACCCGGAATGCTGGGGTTGCACAGTGGCGGGACTTGCCGCGGGCAGCTGAACATTGGCCTCCTCTCCACCCCCTTCCCCACTCCAATCCTTTCCCGCGCCTATCCCCTGCGCCTACTTCCCAAGATATCCGACGTGGTGTTTTGTTCACTGAGCGGCTCCTGGAGGTCTGGACCTCTTGGCGAGAAACGGATTTTCATTGTCGCGCTCTCTGCGTGACAGGTCCTCGATCGATCGAGCGAGCCCGATCCTCGATCGATCCGGGGGGACAAACATGTTCCCACACAGCTACTCCAAGGCCCTCTGACGGGGTGCTGCCTGACCAGCACTGCGGGGCGAATCCAGCGGCAGCAACGAGGGCCTCCCAGGAGGCCCGAGGAGCCGACAACGCGGGAAGGGTAACGGTATCGTTGGGCGCCCGAGTTATCCGGGGTAACTCGGGCCCGGGGCAACTCGGGTTCGGATTCCCGAAAAACGAACCCGAGTTAGCCCTGACCCGAGTTACCCCTGATGATTCGGGGCTCTGATATCGGTTCTTGCTCCTCCTCTGACGACCGATCCTCGATCCTCGGGGAGGGGCGGGGGCCCTGGGCTCGGCACGGCGCCGTGGGCGCTCGTCGCTAGGCCGCCGCGGCGCCGCCGCGCGCGCCGGGTCCTGTGCCAGGCCTCGGCCTCCGGGTACCTCGAGGCGCGCCCTCGTCGTCGTCGTCGCCGCCGCCGCCACCGCAGCCGCCGCAACCGCCGCCGCCGCCGCCGGCATCGTCCTCGTCGTCGTCGTCCTCGTCCTCGTCCTCGTCGTCGTCGTCGTCGTCGTCGTCGTCGTCGTCGTTGTCGTCGTCGTCGTCGTCGTCGTTGTCCTCGTCGTCGTCGTCCTCGTCGTTGCCGTCGTCGTCGTCGGCGGGCACCTCGCGGCGAGCCCCTTGGGGGCGTCGTACTGCACCCCGACGACCTGGGCGAGAGGGCGCGCGTCGCGCACGGGCCCAGCGGGCGTGGGCCTCTGGGTCTGGAGGGCTGCTGCTGCTGCGCTCCGGAATGTGTCAGGGGAAGAGGCGTCGAGAAGACAGGAGGGGGAGGAGGAGGGGGAAGAGTAGGAGGAGGAGGAGGAGGAGGGGGGGGAAGAATGAGGAGGGAGAGAGGAGGAGGAGGAGGGAGGAGTGAGGAGTGAGTGAGTGAGACCAGTCGCGGAGCGAATCCCAAACAACCCTACGGACGCCATCGAGCGAGCAACTCGGCCTTGTTGAGAGCCTTCGGCCATCGATCGGTGTGAATCCGACTTCGATGCTCGCGTCATTCGTAGTTTGGAGACACTTAAGCCCCAAGTTTCGATCCGTCTGACTACCGTACTTACCGCATCTGACACACAACCATAGCTGCAAGTGTTTATGTAGAGGCATGTGGTGACTATTGGGTACCCGGCCCCCCGAGATGTGCAAGCTACTGCAGTAGGGAAGCGCAAAGAACCTCCCATCAAGATTAACAGGCTGAAACTGAAGGGGCCTTGGGACACACAAATAAATACACACAAATAGAAGTATTCCCCATATGTTCCCATAGTTTCTGGGTTTTTGTCTTCCCCCACTTCCCCTATTTTCCCATATTTTCTGGGGAATCGCCGATGAATTGTGTCCGTGTGTTTCTATCCCTCCTGAAAAACACTCGGACGGCATCCATTCGGCTCGAGAGGCCTGGGGCGCAGAGCTAATAAAGCACGCCCGACAGCGTCTGCCACCATCCGCAGAGGAGCGGCTGCTCGCGAGAGGGCGCACGGCAGCAGGAGGAGGAGGGGGAGGCCCAGGCTCTATTTTCGTTGGCCCCGCAGCCTTCTCGGGGGCCACATGCGAACCCTACCCCTACCCCCCACGATTTCTGAGGGGGAGGGTGGGGTTCACTTCGCTCGGGAGCTCCCGAACGAAGTGAACCCCATCCTACCCCTCAGAAATCGTGCGGGGTAGGGGTAGGGTTCACATGTGGCCCCCTACCTTCTCCAGCTGCGCTGCCACATCGGGCGAGTCGACTGTCGCTCGAATCAATCCCATACGGATGCGAAATGCTTCTTGTTCCATAGAAGGAACGTCATGCCTGCGGACCTCTGGCACACGAAGTCCATTTGCCGCAGCTCCCGCCGGCTCGTCGGCCACGCAGTTGCCAACAGCCGGCCGCCGCGATACGCCTCTGCCTACAACTTCGGAACCAGACAAATGTGAGCTCACGAATCTGACAGTGAAAGTGCTGGCGTCACGTGCCGCACACTCCCGTCCCACTCGGTGGGATGAGGAGGAGGAGGAGGAGGAGAAGGAGGAGGAGGGAGGAGGAGGAGGAGGAGGAGGAGGAGGAGGAGGAGGAGGTCGGCGTCGACACCTCCAGGGCTGAGGCGCCGCCGCGCCGCTCCAGCCCTCTGCCGCTGCGGCACCGCCTGCGGCGCAGATCACGTGCAGTGCGGGGGGGCGCGGCCGCAAGAGATCTCCGCAGGAAACCCAGCCCTGAAAGCCCGCGCGCGAGGCGAAGACCTGAGGGTCCTGAACGCAGCAGCTTCTTCGACGGTGGCGGGAAGAACGCAGAGCGGCGCGCGGAGCGAAGAGAAACCCAGGATGCCCTGACGGAGAGCAGATGCCTTCTTGCTGCGTGCCCCCACTGTGTCCACTCGAGCTCTTGAGGGCGCCCAGCATGGCCATCGGCTCGCCACGGGGTAGCGCTTGGCCGCCCCCCTGGGCCTCCCGAGGGAGACAGGAGGGGGAGGAGAAGGAGGAGGAGGAGGAGGAGGAGGAGGAGGAGGACAGCGGCACGACGGTGAGGCCCCTCGCGCCGAAAGCGTGGCGGGTGTCGGCAGAGTCACGGCCTCCGCCGGCCTCGCCGAGCAGCCACGTGGGGGTGCTCCCGTGGCCCTTCGCCGAAGGCGACGGTGGAGGTGCCTGCCACGCTGCCAGAGACATACCACTCCGGGTCAAGCACAGTCGGGGCGTTGACCTAAGGAGCCCTAAATAAGGAACGAGGCCCCCGTTTTCCATAAGTTAACCTTCGATTTCGTAACGCGGAACCCCTCCCCAACGAAAAGGGTTCCTTCTTCAGGGCCCCGACTGTACCACTCCGGGTCAAGCACTGGGGGACCGGCTGACGTCCAGGCTGCAGGAAAGGAGTCCACGAAGCCAGGCACATTCAGCGAGACTGCGCTGCACTCTGGCCTTCTGCACCGGAGGCTCGGAAAACTTATGAGCAGGCGACCCCTCGTTCTTCTCGCAATCCCCCGGTCTGTGCAACATGCCCTCAAGTTTCTTGTTGCAACGTGGGCACAGCCGAGGAAGACCGAAAGCCTGGGCACCTGCCGCGCCCACTCGCCTCGTCCGAGGCCAGCTTCCTCCAGGGAGGAGGGAGGAGAGGGGCGGAGGGAGGAGGAGTAGAAGGGAGGAGGAGGAGGAGAGAGGAGGAGGAGGAGGAGGGAGGGAGGAGGGATGGGAGGAGAGGAGGAGGAGGAGGAGGAGGAGGAGGAGGAGGAGGAGGAGGAGGAGGAGGGAGGGGGAGGAGGAGGAGGAGGAGGAGGAGGAGGAGGAGGAGGAGGAGGAGGAGGAGGAGGAGGAGGAGGAGGAGGAGGAGGGGGAGTAGAAGGGCGGAGGGTGGAGGAGTAGAAGGGAGGAGGAGGCGGAGGAGGAGGGAGGAGGGAGGGAGGAGGGAGGAGGGAGGTCCTGTCTCGCTCCCTCGCCATCGAGGCAGAGCGCTGGTCCTGGGACCCCTCACGAGGGCAGCAACGATACAGTCAGAATCAGCGATATGGATGGAGCGTAAGGATGCCAGGCCTTGCCATTCGCCGAAATCAGACAACGGCAACAAGCGCGTCCGCGAGGGTACCCTCTGGGCCGGGGAGTCGGAACACGTGCCAAGGATGGCCAGAACCGAAAGATGCAAGGTCCCCTTGCGAGAATAGACGAGCGCGTTCCACGATTCGCAGAGTAACTACTCGCTAATGGCCTGAATCTGCCGCGGGGGCTCTTCGATGAGCTACATCGCGGCAGACATGTGTTTCTGATCGGACGTTTGCGAGTAAGCACTTTGCGAGGAGTGGAACGCGCTCGGCTCGAGTTGGCCTGACGGGGCCATCATGAAATTGACGAGACCCAATATGAAAGTTGACGCGAGCTCCCGCTGCAGACATCCCACGAACACTGGACCGTCAAAATCCAGGACGCCCTCGTCAAAAAGCGTCGGCAAACCCGAGTGCCGGCGCACTCGAGTATTACGTTTCCCCGATCGGTGAGAGGAAAGGGCCCATCCGGAACGCCAGCGGTGACTATATATCACCAGGACCTCAGCATGCCGGAGGCGCCGCCAGGGGCCTCCAGCGCCGCTCCGGGGGATCCGCGCGGAGCTCCGGAAGTGCATGTGTTCATGCCGCTGTGTCTCTCCCTCGCCCGACGGGGACGCACTCCGACCGCGCCCCCCTGCTTCCCGCCCTTCTTGAAGGGGCCCTGGGACCCACAAACAGATGCACACACCAATAAACGGATTCCCAATATTTCCTCATACTTCCTGGGTTCTCGTCTTCCCCCCCCACTTCCCATAGTTGCCCAGATCGTCTTGGGGGTCGACGATGCAACGTGTGTCTCTGTGTGTGTGTGTGTGTGTCTGTGTGTGTGCGTGTGTGTGCGTGTGTGCGTGTGTGTTTTTTCCCCTCCTGACCTCTGCCGCCCCGGCACCCCCCGCTGGCTCTCAAAGAGAGAGCGCAGGGAGCCCGGCGCCGCGGCGGAGCCGCGCGGCCGAGCTCCTTCGCCGAGCCCCATGCGGCCGTGCGGCCCCGGGCTCGGCGGCCGGTGCTGGCCGCACCACCCCCTCGCACTCGAGGGCCAGCTTGGGCCGGGTGTTGCTGGAAGTGCCCCTGGCCCAAGGTGTCCCCAGCTTTTCGCACGATTTGGGAGCCCCTGGGGACCCCTGGGCCTTGTGAGGGGTGCCGTGGAGGCCGTCTGGGCCAGCCCGAGACTCCTGGGGGTACCTTGGGCCAGGGGTACTTCTAGCAACACCCGATTGGGAGGCTCACCTACTTTCCAGACATGACGTTCTTCGAGCAGGGACCGAGTGCTTAGAACCCAAACCCGTTCTAAGAACAAGAACAATGTTCCTAGAACAAAAACCCGATGTGACAAAAAGCAAGATAGACTCCGCCAGAAATGTTCTAAGAACATTTCGTGGAAACCACAGAAAAGGTTCTTAGAACATTGTTTGGTGGGGCTATAGGCGAGCCGGGACGCTTCGCCACTGCTTGAGTTCTGGGGAGATTCGCTATAACTTGGATCAGCAAGTACACCCCTCCTGGCGTCCATACTTGTCAGTCCCAGCCTGGCCAGGCCGAAGCACCCACTTCCCCCGTCGGGGGGCTGCAGTGGGGGCCCGGTCACGAGAGACCTCCCGCGAGACACCCGACCCCGAGACCCCGGGGCGGCCATCGATTCCTAGTGTGTGGGGGGGCGCACGCCTTCCGCAGCAGAGCCACCGAAACCCGAGAAGCCCAGGGCACCCTGGAGGCAAGCAGGGCGTTTCTTGGCATGGGTATCCACTGTAAGTCCAGCTGGATGCCAACCAGATGGAGCGACCTGGAGCCAGCTGCACTCACTCAACGGCGCGGCGGCAGGCCGCGCAGAGGCCTCGCATCCCCCGGAGACCTCACGGACCGTCACCGCACGGCTTCGGGACCGGGACCCTGGAGGCCCCCGTCGCCCAAGACGCCCTCGCAGAAGGATCCGAGTCCCAACGGCGCGCGGCCACCTCGCATCCCCACCGACCCCCCGCGCGGACCAGTCACCACGCCATCCTTCGGGGGCCCCCCCCGCTCCCGCGGCGCGCCCAGGCAAGCACCCACGGGGGTGGGGGGAGGGCGGGGGGGCGGCCCGCGTCGACGCCAGCGATCCCCGCGCGGAGCTCCGAGACCTCACGTCCGCGCCGGATGCTGCTCCTCGATCGCCCGCGCCACGCGCGAGGGGCGCTGCGTGCTCTGCGCGCGGCGTCCTCCCGCGCCCTCCTCCGCGCCCGCCCTCCTGCTCCGCGCCGGGCTTCCGGTGCGCAAGAGGCGGCCCCGCCGCGACCCCCTTTGCTGCTGCTGCCCTCGAGGGGCACCATGGGGCTGCCGAGAAGCGTGCGCTGTGTCGGAGCTCCGCGCAGACGTCTTGGCTCGGAGCCGGACCCCCCCCCCCTGCCCCGCGGAGTGCCCGAGGGGGTGCCCCGGCGCCGATCCGGGAAGCCCGCGCGGCTCTCCGGGCGTTTCTGCGGCGCTCCTGCCGCGCGCTCGTCCTCGGCGTCGGGGCCCGACGCCTCGTGTCCCCACGCCGCCGGATGACGACAAGAGGTGTGTTCCTCGAGCTTCGATGCGGGCGCGCGTCGCCAGAAGGTCGGGCCTCCTCGCGCCGCCGCGAGGCTGCGACCCCGGCTCCGCGGCGGCTGAGCGCGATGCCGTGCGGCCGCGCCTCCCCGCCGCGCGCATGTATAGTGTTGTTGTTGCGCAGGCCAAGCTCTGAGCGACGGAGCGTCTGAGACGTCATACGGCGAGAGACAAGGACCCTGGTACGGCAGGGTCGTGTCTTGTCGACCCGGGCGTTGGCTACTGACACCGCGGGGATCGTTCGACCTTGAACGATCGGCCGTTTACGCAATGTCCGATCATTCAACATCGACCGATCATTGGCCGCCGCCAGTTGACACGACACGAACCTACCGTACGACGTACGAGGTGCGCGTGCGAAGATCAAGTCGAACTCTCGTCACCTTGGCAGACTCAGCGGAAGAGGGAATACCAAGAATGTGCGGAAGAGCCAACCTCCCTCCCCCTTCTCCTCGAATCCTCGCCGCGCGCCTCATCCCGCTCCTCGTTTTTGTTTACGGTGGCTCTCGATTCACTCCATCCTTCTGCTTCTCAAACTTCTCCTACTGCTACTGCGCTCGCGATCGCACGAGGTGCGGTCGCGTCCCTGCGGCGCTCGCAAGCGCCTCGCCGCAAAAAGGGTGAAAATACCGACCTTCCCCCACTATCCCCACATCCCCCAACCTCCTCCTCCTCCTCCTCCTCCTCCTCATCGTCCTCCTCCTCCTCCTCCTCTCGCCTCCTTGTCCTCCTTGTCCTCCTTTTTCTCCTCGTCGTCGTCGTCCTCCTCCTCCTCCTCCTCCTCGTCACTCTCCCCACCCTCCTCTTCCCGCCTCCGACCTCCGTCGCCTCCCTCTTCCGTGCGTCCTTCCCACCTCGCTCCTCCTCCCTCCCCCCCTGCCCCCTGCACACGACGGCACCCCTGCGGAAAAGACCGCGTGGAACATGATGGCCACGACGAGGAATGCGCCGGCCAGGTAGGCCCACACGACCGCCTGCGGCGGCACCTTCGCCGGGGCGCGCCCTTCTATTTTCCCCTCTTCCTCCATCCCCTCATACATCCCCTCTTTCTCTTTCTCCTCCTCCTCCTCCTTCTACTACTACTTTTCCTCCTTCTTCTCCTGCTAGTTTCCCTCATCATTCTCCACCTCCTCATCTTCGTGCTCTTCAGCCCACTCCTCCTCCTCCTCCCTCTCCTTCTCCCCAGCCTGCTCATCTTCCTCCCTCCTCCTCCTGTACCTTCTCCTCCTCCCTCCTCCTCCTCCACCTCCTCCTCCTCCTCCTCCTCCTCGTCCTCCTCCTCCTCCTCCTCCCTCCTCCCTATATAGATGAATACACCTAAAAATGTGATATACATGTGCAGTCCATCGATGTGTATATATACACATATAGATGTATCGATACATATATCGATCTAGATGTGTAGATGCAAATAGATGGATACATATAAGTATAACAGATAAGTGTGCAGTCCATCGACGTATATGCACCTATTTCTATACACATTATCAAGATCTGCGATATACATATGCCATATCTCTCAACATACATATGTAGGTATGGATCGTTCGATCGATATACTTATATACATGTGTGTATGAGTACACATATATGTTATGACATATATATACACATAACATATATGTGTATATATGTTACGTGTGTGTGCTTGCTTCTCCCTGGGATGCATCCCCTGGCCGGTTTTTCGACCTGCCCCTGGCGCCGTTGCGGCTCGAGCCTCCAGAGGCGTGGCCATTGGCCAGATTCGGCCTGGGATGCGGCCGGGGATCTGGAGCCAAACTCCGCGGGACAAGAGTTCAGCTGGATCAGGCGGGCGTACGCCGGACTCAGCGGGTCTGAGCCAGATTGGGCCAGCCTTCAACCTGGCATACAATCAAAAACTCTATTGAGGACGCGCGGTAAGGACGCAATACCCTTGGAAGCCGAAGTTGGGATTGGTGGGGCGGCGGACGACGAAAACCTCAAGGACGCAAGAGCAAGGAAGAGCAAGGACGCAAGGGTACCCTGAGCAAAGTCGCGCGTCCTTATTGGGGGTTTTGACTGTATACCAGCGCCGATTCAGCAATCAGCCTCCCAGGAGTTGCGCCCTGGGGAGCGCGGCGGGGCGCGCGCGCGCGCCCCGTGGAAGGTCTCGGTCACGTGCTGGCCGACCTCGCGCGGGGCGGGCGCCCGTCGTCCAGCCGTCGCACTGCCACAGGGAGCGCTGAACAAGAAGGGACGAAGCCCAGGCCACCGATAGCTCTGAGGAGCGGACAGGTTTCAGTCAGGAGCGAAGCTCCCCGCCCCAGATCCGAGGAACGGCCCGACAACCAGAGCGCCGCCCAGACCCTTCTTTCAGCGGCGTGGCTGTGAGTGCAAGGGTAGAGGGCACCACCACCAACACCACCAGGGGCGAGAGCCAGGCGAAGTCTTCTTGATGTGAATCATGTTCCACCTTCGCGGGTGACCTACTCTGCCCCATCGCACCACTATCCACGTCGAACCCACGTCAAACATCGAATCCGTGTCGAATCCACGTCGCCGCATCCACCCCGAGTTCTCAGAACTCGTCGAACCTGCGTCGAGCTCGCGTCGTATGCAAAAGCAAGGCCGCCATTTACAGGACAGACAAGGTCCCACGGAGGAAGAAGAGGAAGGGGCGGAGGATGATAGTGAGGAAGGAGAGGGAGAGAGGGAGGAGGAAGGAGAGGGAGAGAGGGAGGAGGAGGAGGAGGAGGAGGAGGAGGAGGAGGAGGAGGAGGAGGAGGAGGAGGAGGAGGAGGAGGAGAAGCACGAATCTAGTGGCGTGCCCCCCTCTTTTGCGGCGTCCTGCTCGACTCGGGGGCGCGCCCAAAAAGGGGCTGCAAATCGTGGCCCGAGGCATGCGCGCGGCAGCGGGGGGGGCCAGGTGACGTGTTCCAAGAAGAAGATTATGTCTGGCGTGTCCCCCTACAGGGGGATTTTCGACGAAAAATAAAAGATACCCCGAACAGACCCTAAAAAGGGATAAACAAATACTGAAAAAATAGTCCCTAGATGATTTTTGGATTATTTTTGATTTTCATTTTTCGTCGAAAATCCCCCTGTAGGGGGAAAGGCCCGACTTCAGAAGAAGAAGAAGAAGACGCATAACGTCAGAACACGAGGGGGGCACCGGGGCGCCAGCGTGGCCCTGGCCACGACAGCCGCCGCCCTGGTCCCCCCCCTCCCTCCCCTCCGGGGGCCGCCCCCCCGCTCGCCGCGCCTCCCGCGCGGGGAGATAAAAAGAGGAACAGAACCTGCATGGGAAAAACCCTCTCGGACATCTGCGCGGCTCTCCCGGGGTCCTGCACGAACGAGATGGGCATGGAAAGAATGGTTACACTGCCCCACAGCGGTTCCTGTCCGTCTTGAACGGGACTCGCTGTCCACGCCGCCGCGGCCCGTGCCCACTCGAGACAGAAGGCCGCCTGTCCAACAGCGGCCGCTGTTGGTGTGGGACAACATTTGTTGCTGGGCATTGTGCCCAATCTTTCCGCACCCATTTCGGGCGTCCAAAGGGGTCGGCGCTCGACCCCCCCTTGCCTGTCGGCTGGGCGCGCCAGTGGCTTGGGCGTGGCTTAATGGGGGGTCACAAATGGGGGGGTCAGAAAAGGTCCCATTTCGTGCCCCTTTCGGGCCCCTCCAGAGCCCCAGGGGGCTCGTTTAGGTACCGTTTGGGTACCTTTTCGGACCACGCTCGCCACCCCCCCATTTATGACCCCCCCATTACGCGGCGCCCAAGTGGCCAGCGCAGGGGGCGCCGCCGGGAGAGAGGGGGCCCACCGCCGATCAAGAAACGACATCCGCACCGACCTCCGCGAGGTCGTTCTGTTGTGCAGCTGCTGCTTCCGAAGAGCTGCAGCACTGCAACACTGAAACACTCGTCGTCGTCGTCGTCGTCGTCGTCGTCGTCGTCGTCGTCGTCGTCGTCGTCGTCGTCGCCTTCGTCGTCGCCGCCGCCGCCGTCGCCGCCGTCGTCGTCATTTCTATTACCCTCCGGCCCTCCTGCCTCGGGAGCGGCCAAGAGGGGGGTGTCCAAGAGGGGGGGGGGTGCAAATCATGGCAGGCGGCATGTGCGCGGCCCAGCGGGGGGCCCAGGGGCGTAAGGAAACAAGAAGAGGCGCCACGAAGTCTGGGGAACTATCATGGCCCCCGCCATGACATCCACCCCCCCCTAGTCATCGTCATCACCCCCTGCTCTTCCGCCCCCGAAACACAAAGCACGACGGGAGCCCCAGACCCTTCTGGTGCATGTTCCGAGCCGGGTCGATCTGCGATGGTCCCGGGACCGGGCCAAGGTCAAGTCTCCAGCCCGAGGCAGGAGAGCCCAGATTTGAATCGACGAGTCCGATCGGCGATCGAAGTGCATCGGATCGGCGATAGTCGGCAGCCGAGATCGGAGGAGGTCGAATCGGCTGAAATCGGCAGCCCAGCAGGCTGGCAGTGCCTCCAGCCAGAGACTGGCGTCCAGATCGTACATCCGAAGTCGAAGCTTTGGAATCGACATCGACGTCGACATCGAGCCGAGTCGGCAAATACAAAAACAAAAAAAACGCATGGGGGGGGACATTGGTTGAGCAGGGCCCGACCGTCCGTCCCGGCATTCCTATAGTCATACCACGACATGTTCCTAGAACCCAAAAGTGTTCTAAGAACAAAAAACAGTGTTCTTAGAACACAAACCCGATGTGATAACACAAGACAGTCCCAGCCAGAAATGCTCTAAGAACATGTCGTGGGGACCACAAACGTTTCTTAGAACATTGCTAGGTAGAGCCACAGGCAAGCCAGGACTGAAGGGGCCCCAAAACATACAAATAAAAACACAAATAAAAGGAATCCCCATATTTTCCCATGTGTTGTGCGTTCTTGTCTTCCCCCCCACTTCCCATATTTCCCCTATATTTTCTGGGGAATCGACGATTCATTGTGTCTGTGTGCTTTGTTCCCTCCTGAAGGACGCTTCGCCACTGCTTGAATTGGGGACCTCCCTCGCTGGTGGTGCCTGCGCGCCCCTCCGACCACGCGGCGGGGCGCGGCCCGCCCGCGCCCGAGCCGGCGATGCCCACGCCCTCGCCACGACGCGCAGACAACCGCGCCGGCCCTCGGGCGGCGCACCGATGGGGGGCGATCCAGACTGGGGGCGGCCACGAGGGGGGCGGACGTCCACGAGGACGGGGGGGCGCAGATCCTGGCCGGCAGCACGTGCGCGGCCCGGGGGGGCCAGGGACAGCATGGAATGAGCAGAGGCGCCACGAACCCTGAGGCTGCAACATCATGGCCCCCGACGTGAGATGGGCCCCCCCCCCCCCGTGGTCATCACCCCGCCCTCTCGGCCGCCCCCCAAAAACGAGGGGGGGAGCAAGGCGCCCCCTCCGAGCCCTGGAGAGGGCCCCCGCCAGGCCACGCCGCGAACCCGAGGCCTGGGCGTCGCACTCCGTGCCCCAGGCACTGGGCGACGCTCGCCCTGCCTCGGGCCCCCGGGGCCCCGTGCAAAGCGGAGCGATGCGACTCGAAAGAGGCAGCAGAACGATGGGGTCTGGGGTTAAGTCGGGCCTGTCCCCCTACGGGGGGATTTTCGCCAAAAAATGAAAAAATACCAGAAAAATAATCGACAAAATGATCCAACAAAAATAGTCTGGGGACTATTTTCGGAGGGTTGTTTGACCTTTTTGGGGCATGTTTGGGGTGTTTTTATTTCTCGTCGAAAATCCCCCTGTGGGGGGACAGGCCCGACTTAACCTTAAGCGGATCGATCCGACTCGAGAAAGGCAGCAAAACGATGGGGTCTGGGGCGATGGCCGTGACGTCTCACGATGCTTCGGGGCTCGGGAGGCGGGGGGTCAGAGCAGACTGGGGTCGGGCAGAGTTCCGGAGGAGGAGGAGGAAGAGGAGGACGAGGAGGAGGAGGGGGAGGAGGAGGAGAAGGAGCAGGAGGAGGGGGAGGAGGGGGAGGAGGAGGAGGAGGAGGAGGAGGAGGAGGAGGAGGAGAGGAGGAGGAGGAGGAGGAGGAGGGAGGAGGGGGAAGAGGAGGAGGAGGAGGGGAAAGAGGAGGAGGAGGAGGAGGAGGAGAAGGAGGAGGAGGAGGAGGAAGAGGAGGAGGGGAGGAGGAGGAGGAGGAGGAGGAGGAGGGGGAGGACGAGGAGGAGGAGGAGCCAGGGCTGCACTGACCCGGGCTTGGGTGCAGGATCCCGCGGGACTCCCTGCAGGATCTTATACAGGATCCAGCAGAGCCTGACTGGCCCCGGTCTGGACCCACCAGGGTCAGTAGATCCCCGAATGCTGCATTTTGCTCGCGACGTCGGATTTCAGGGGAGCCTCTGCCACGAGAAAAAATCATGGCGGGACAAATTGTCGTCATATTCCGCTTCTGGCCCTCGTCGGGCTTCGGGACCGTCAGTACACGACTCGCGGCATGAGAAGCCGGTCCCGGGGAGTGGGTCGAGACCTCTGCGGGTCGACGTCATGCAGAAATCATGACGTCGGGGGTCTGGGGAGAGGTGATGGGGGGTTGGCTCCCCTGACCGTCCAGCAGGGCAGCAAAAATAGCACCCGGACCATGGCCCCTAAATCTCGATCAACTCCGCCTGGCTCCACATGGCTCCCGGACCCCGGGCCGGCAGATGCCAGATGCCCCTGGCCCAAGGTGCCCCCAGGAATTCCACAGAGACCCCCACGGCCTCCAGAGAACCCCTCACATGGCCGAGAGGGCCTCAGGGGCTCCGAAATGGAACGAAAAGCTGGGGGCACTTTGGGCCAGGAGCACCTTTCGCAACCTCCCGAAGAGGGGATCCGAGGGGACCTGCTCACCCCCCGTCAGCGCTGAGCCGCGTTGCGTGCGCCCACTACCCTCCCCCACTCTTGCCATGACAGGTCGAGAGGAGTCCTCGCGGAAATGAGCCCTGGACCCAAGGACAAGCGCTCTTCCTCCTGAGCCGCTCTTCGACGGTCCCCAGGGCCCGTGGAGGGCCCCCAGTCCCCGAGATCCGACGTTGCAAAAAATACAGCGTTGCGAAAATTCGCGACCGGTGCTCAAGACTTCAGTCGGCCCTGTCCCCCTACAGGGGGATTTTCGACGAAAAATAATAATTACCCTGGCGACGTACCCAACCCCTGCGCAAAAGCGGGGCGCAAATAGTTTAGGATACTTTATAAGGGGGCGATGACGGAGCGAGGGTTACATATGTCTGCAGACGGAATTCGGGAGACTCGCAGGACACTGGCTACAGGAAAAGGGCTTGATAAAGCTGATGATTTACAATTCCTGAGCACTCCTAGCCACTTCGAAAACGGGGATCACAGCAGGCCTCGAAAGTGGCGACAGGTTCACAGATCGCAGCCCCGCAGGGATGGCGAGGTCTCATTTGAATCTGCCCGTGGCCCTCACTGTGCTGGGCCCCCCAGCAGGCCTCGAAAATGGCGGCAGTTTCGCAGATCGCAGCCCCCCAGGGATGGCGAGGTCTAATTTGAATCCGCGCGTGGCCCTCACTGTGCTGGGCCCCCCAGCAGGCCTCGAAAGTGGCGACAGTTTCACAGATCGCAGCCCCCCAGGGAGGGCGAGGTCTAATTTGGATCTGCCGCGATTACCCTCTATGCTGGACCCCCCAGCAGGCCTCGAAAGTGGCGACAGTTTCACAGATCGCAGCCCCCCCCCCCCAGGGATGGCGAGGTCTAATTTGAATCTGCCGCGATTACCCTCTATGCTGAGCCCCCCAGCAGGCCTCGAAAGTGGCGACAGTTTCACAGATCGCAGCCCCCCAGGAATGGCGAGGTCTAATTTGGATCTGCCGCGATTACCCTCTATGCTGGACCCCCCAGCAGGCCTCGAAACTGGCGACAGTTTCACAGCCCCCCGCAGGCAAGACAGAAAGAGGCAGGAAAGAGGCGGGAGGCGGGAGGAGGAAGGACGCGACCACACTGCTCTATTCAAAACGAATACCCAACCAAGGAGGGTTGGGAAAAAATACCCCAAAAGTTATCCAAAGATAGTCTGGGGACTATTTTTTGACTTTTTGGTGTATTTGTTTGTGATTTTTCGTTGAACATCCCCCTGTAGGGGGACACGCCCGACATAACTCTAGACCCAATCCTTCTGCTGCATGTCAAAGCTAGCTCGATCTGTGATGGTGCTGCAGGGCCCAGAACTGGGCAAGACCGCCCGGTGTGAAAAATAGCAAAAAGCCTGGATCTCGGGGAAGGCCCGACAACTAAGAAACAACATCAGGACCCGCTTCTCTCAGACCCACACTATGGAGAGCAGTGAAAAACCCTCACAGCAAACACCCAGGAAGAAATCGAAATCGAACGGGACAGAGCTGTTCGCTAAACGCCCAGGTCCGTGAAGCAAACGCAGGTTCTGCGGGTCGGGGTGGTTCTGCCTCCCTTGACCATAGTAGGTGCGTAGCGGAACCTGCGCGCCGCCCAGGCCTGGCCCCCAACTCCACCCCTCGCGAGGGCCTCGCGTCCTGGGCCGTCCTGCCACAGGCCCCGCGGCGGCGACGGCGGTGGCGACGACGGCGACGACGACGGCGGTGCCGACGACGACGCTGCACGCCGACGACGACGACGACGAACGCCGACGCACGCCGCGGGCGACGCCGCAGAGGCGTCGGCGGCGGCGCAAAGGCGGCGGCGACGACGCGCGACGACGCACGGCAGCGGCGACGGCGCACGGCGGCGGCTGCGCAGAGGGCGGCGGCGGGGCGGCGGCGCAGCGGCCCGCAGCGGCGCAGCAACGAGGCGGCGGCGGCGGCGGCGCAGGCCTGCAGGAGCGCCGGGCGCGGGCCGACGGAGCTGTCGTGCTCGTTGAAGCTGGGCGGCGGGCGCGGGGCCGCGCCGGCGGGGCGCGCTTCCGTAGACAAGCGCGTTCCACTACCTCGCCATCTCTCGGACGTCCATTCCCCGTGATCGGTTCGGTTTCGTGCGTGCTTTTTTTCACACGGCGGCCAAGGAGATGCTCCTCGATGGCCCCCGCCGAGCAAAAATGCACACGTCCGAGAGATGCCAAGACGACCTGCAACAAAGAACTACTCGCAGATGGCCTGGGTCCGCCGCGGAGGATTCCACGATCCATTACATCGAGGCCAACAGGCGTCTTTCGGGCGTTTGCGAGTAGGCACCCTGCGAGCAGTGGAGCGCAATCGGCGATTCCGGGTGAGCGGCCCACGGCGGGTTGCCGCCCCGGGAGGCATCCTGGCAGATGCCGGGCCCGGGCAAGCCCCAGGCCGCGAGGCGGCAGCGGGATGGCGCCCCAGAAGACCTCCCCGTCCCCGCCACGCGCCTCGTGCAAGAGCGAGCGCGTGGGTGCCGTGCCGAGCCAGTTCGTCGACAGTCTCGGAGGCAGCCTCCAGGGGAGACTAGCGAAAACAAGCGATGTGATGCTTCTGAACAGTGGAGGTCCACGTTCGGGGGTGGACAGAACCCCGTTTAGTAAAGCGTGGTTCAGTGAAAACGAACTCGGGCCCGAACCTGACGGGCGCAAGCCTGAAACATGACGGCCGCGGCGCGCCCTCGAGAACCGACAATCCACGAATCGACGTGTCAGGGTGGGGGTTCTGTCCACCCCCGACACACGTGCATCCGTCGTCGCGATCTGTTCACAGCGTGGCTCCCCAGGGGCCTGGACCCCTTCCCGAGGACCAGCGTTCCATCCCGAGTCGTTCGTGGACGGCCTCCGGGGGCCCCGTGGGGGCCCCTTGGAGACCGACAAAGCGTGTCGAGCACCTCCCGCCGTGATTTCGCTAACGACGCGAGGATAACATGTGAAGGGGAACTGGGACACACAAATCAATACACACAAGTAAACATATTCCCCATATTTTCTCATATATTTTCTGGGTTTCTGTCTTCCCCCCCTCTTCCCATATTTTCCCATATTTTCCGGGGAATCGACAAATAATTGCGTCTGTGTGTTTTTTTTTCCCCTCCTGAACATGGCCTGGGGAGGCGTACACCGCGCGCGTGCCGGCAGGATCTGGGCAGGGTGCGAGGGGGGGAGCGTGACAGCCGGACTGGACTGGACAGGACGCGCGAGAGGGCACAGGACCCCTCCGGGGGCCACAGGAATGCAGGAAGCATGGGTCGCGAGACAAAGAACGCAAGGGTGCCCTTGACTTCTGGCAGGGTCGACCTACTGCTCTGGGCCGACTGTCGGAGCCCTGACCTTCCAGGAGGGCTAAAGAATGGCACCCGACTTCAAAACCTATCCCAGAGCGATCCTACGTCTTGGTTCTGGGCTGTGTCGCTTAGTTTTGTAGGTTGTTAGGCTTCCAGTGCTAGAAAATAACTCTCTGGAAGGTCAGGGAGGGGGGGCGCTGGTTCACGGTGGAAACGTCGAGCTGGAATCGGCGACGCGTCGCCGGTGGATCGACGATAGACCCCCCACCCCCGGCGGCGAAACCGCACGTTCCTGGGCGGGGTGGGCTATCAGGCCCGGATCGGCGGGGAATGGGCAAGTCCGGGTTCGAGGCTTCCCCCTGGAGCCCATCCCTCCCCCCTGCGTCGTTGCTCGGGCCGGGCGAAAGGGAGGATAGAGCTCGCGTAGCTCATTCTCCCGGCGCCTCCCGGCGCCGGAGGCCCCATGTATCGAGGAATGGGCCCCGCGGCGGGGCCGAAACCAGCTGCATGCAGCAGGTTTCGTACCCCCCCCCTTCCCTATCCCCCCCTTTCGTCCGGCCTGAGTTGCCCCTGGCTTTCGGCTCATAACTCAGCTCTCCGGCGGCCGTTCGGGACCCCAGAGGCCGGCAGGATCTTAATTTAAGACCGGGCAAGTAGCTTCTTATTTTCTAACATGTCTGATTTAAGAGAATAAGACCCTTACGTGAGATCATGCACATTACATATTTTTGTTGTGTTTCTTCAGCATTCAAACTCACCACGGCCCCATCGCAACGTCCTGGAAAGCCCCTTTTTCTATCCCCTCATAACCCATTCATCATCCCTTTCTAGTCCTCCTAACCGTTAGAGCCACCCCTGGGAGGCAGGAGACAGATGAGGGAATTGAGCAGGAATATCACCACAATTAGGGATAATCCAGATCAGCGTTTATATATATATATATATATATATATATATATAGCGCCCGTCTTGCTAGTGCTGCCCCCATGCCGATGCCACCCCCCATGATGATGTTGCCCCGGATGCCCCCCCCATGTTGATGTTGCTGATGTTGCTAGATGCCCCCGCATGCTGATGCTGCCCCAGGATTCGTCCATTTCTCGTCTCTAAGTGCGTCTTCTCTTGTTAGTCTTCGTCTTCACCTCCTCGTCACGATCGCCTCTTCGCCTCTCCGTCCCCGTCTTCAGCCCGTTGTGGCTCGAGGGATTGTATGACCCCGCACCATAGCGGGGGGTCGCCCTCGCCGCGGTACAAGGACATCCGCCTTTGGATGGTCCGCATGCCGCTGGCGCTGGGGGGGCAAAATTGCACATCCCTGCCCTTTCTCCCTTTACTCCTCCTCCTCCTCCTCCGCCTACTCCTCCTCCTCTTCCTCCTCCTCCTCTTCCTACTCCTCCTCCTCTTCCTACTCCTCCTCTTCCTCCTCCTCCTCCTCCTCCTCCACCTCCTCCTCCTCCTGCGTCGCAGTCGTCGTCGTCGTCGCATGTTTCGTCGTCGTCGTCGTCGGCGTGGTACGCTGGCACCCTCCTCATCTTCCTGCTCCTCCTCCCCCACCTCCACCTCCAAGGGGAACGAACTGACGGGCCTCGACACGCTCGCGAGGGAGATGGAGCAGGCCAGCGGGAGTTTGATATGTATGTACGTATGTAGTTATTGATTTGGTATGTGTATATTTTCATCAAATAGATGTTTGTTTATGCATGTACACATGTGCACATATATATATATATGTTTGTAATCATTTGCTTGCATATGTCGTCATGTATTGGTCCATGGCGTACCGTTCTACATGTGTATAGATGTTATCTGGTGTTGTGAAGTCGTTACACATGTGTAGGTATATATGTATGAGCGTTGGATACGCAGCGTAGGTTTGCCATTTTCATTCCGAAATCCGCCTGCAGGGGGACGTGCCCGACTGGGGCCCGCCGAGGTGTCGCCTTGTGGACGTGCGCGGGCGCTTCGTGGGGGCTCCGAGTGCGGGGCGGGTCCGCAGAGGTTTCGCCTGGCGGGCGCCCGTGGGCGCACGTGGTGGGCGCCTTGCGCGCTGCACTGGGTGCGCCGAGTGGAGCACGCATGGGTGTAGTGTTGGGCCGATTTGGATCCGATTTAGACGCGTCCAAATCGGGCCCAAATCGAGCCCAAGTCGGATCCAGGGGTACGAGGATGTGGATGATGAGGACGATGATGATGATGCTGGTGATGATGATGATGAGGATGACCATCGTGACGGTGGTGATGATGATGATGATGAGGATGAGGATGATGATGATGATGAACATGACGGTTACACCATACCTCCCCCCAGCGTTGCCCCGCCCCAGGCGGCTGTCGACACCGTCGAGGGCTCGGACACAGAGGTCGAGTCCTGCACCAAGGGCGTCGAGACCATGGTGCAGGAGGCCATGCAGGTGGCACGCGAGTGCTCCATGACGGAGCAGGAGATCCAAGAGGAGTTCGACCGCCTGGACTTGGACCAGACGCTGCCGTACATCGAGGGCGCGGCTGCAGCGGTGAACCACCTGCGCGCCAAGGCGTCGCCAGCCGAGGAGCAGCATGGGCAGCCCGCCGAGGAGCAGCGCGCAGAGAAGCAGCCAGCCGAGGAGCAGCCAGCAGAGAAGCAGCCAGCCGAGGAGCAGCGCGCAGACATGCAGCCAGCCGAGGAGCAGCGCGCAGCGAAGATGCAGTCAGCCGAGGAGCGGCGCGCATCGAAGATGCAGCCAGCCGAGGAGCAGCGCGCAGCGAGCATGCAGCCAGCCGAGGAGCAGCTGGCGCATGGACGGCCAGCCCCGCCCCCGGCCGCCCCGAGTCCTGCGACGCCCCCTGGCCCGCCTCCGCCCACGCCCTCGGTGGAGCAGATCGATTCGGACGAGGACAGGAGGGCCAAACGGACAGCAACATGACCTGGTCGGGTGGTGGGCTCCTCACCCGAGGAGCCCATGACCACAGTGATTGTTGCGTTCGCTTGGTCTCCTCAGGAGCCGCTGCAAGCCATTGCCACCACTTCGCCGAGGTCGCGCCCGAGGTCAGCGAGCTGGGTACCAGCGCCAGAGACGCCGCAGCTGGCGGACACGCCATCGTACAATCCAGCGGACTCGGGCTCGCAGCTGCCGATCGGGCTCTCGCAGCAGACTTCGGACGAGCAGGAGACGCCAGTGCTGCCATCCTTCAAGCGGTCGCTGACAGACGATGTGCAAGTGGAGACCAAGAAGTCCAAAAGGTGGCAGAGTAATCGCCTCGTGAGCCCGCCACGCGTGGAGGAGTGCGTGCCAGCGCATCCGCGCTCGCAGCGGCCGCTCACGGCGCCGCCGCAGCTGGTGGGCCAGCGCCTGCAGCAGCCAATCGAGAGCAGCCACATCAACAAGCAGCAGGCGATGACAGCGCCGAGCATCGACCAGATGGCGCGGGCACCTCTCGATGGCAACTGCGGCATCAGCAAGGAGCAGCTGGTGGAGAAACCCAAGCAGAAGTTCGACGAGCTGGTCGCATCCGACACGGGTGCGGACTTGGACGAGATGGGCAAGACTTTCCAGGACTTCTACAAGGGCTCCTCGATCGTGCAGCTGCGCGCGATGCGCCCTGAGACCGCGGAGAAGCCTCTGGATGACGACTTCGGCGCCGACCCGAAGGAGTCGGCTCTTGACAGGGAGGAGCGCCTCATGTGGGAGTCCTTGGAGGAGAAGGCGTTCAAGTTC